AATACATGAAAAACAGAGCTAAGTTAAAAGGCACTAATTGTGATAAAGATTAAAACTACTTAATTTTCTATCGAAAATATGTCTATTTCAAATTTATGTGCAACACAGCACATGAATCAAACTCAAAAACAAAATAAATTTAGAATTATAGTGATAAATTGATGAGAGAGCCATCATGATTGCAAATTCCAACTTATCTCTTTCAACTTTTGCATGAACAAGAAAAATTAATAAATATATGTTCAGTACAAGTAGTAAAAACTTACTGCCATGAAGTCAATCCCAAGTCATAGTGAATTTAGCAGAGTAGACCTGTTCCATAGGGGTTTTGAGGCTATAAATCTTTACTGAAGCAGATGGTATCGTCTTTCTATCAGGGAGCACAGGTGGTGATCTAGAACTCTTTGCCTATAGTTAGTCCAATACTTAGCAGGCTGTACCACAGGACTCCTTACAATGTAAAAGGTTTGACTGGAAGAACAATAGGCCATTGTACAATGCTCACTTTCTTAAGCAGACAAAGACCACTTATTAAAAAATATCAAATATTTTTCCAACACTGACCCTGAGGGCTGTCTCTAAGCCAGTGGTTCTTAACCTTCCTAATGCCATGGCCTTTTAAAACAGTTCATGTGGTGGTGACCCCCCAAACATAAAATTATTTTCACTGCTACTTTATAACTGTAATTTTGCTACTGTTATGAATCTGGCGACCCCTGTGAAAGGGTCATTCGATCCCCAAAGGGGTCGTGACCCACAGGTTGAGAACCACTGGTTTAAGCATACATGACATTGGATGTCAACGAGAGACAGCCAGGCGTAGCGCATGGTGATTATCATTCTGGCAAAAGATCTGACGAGAAAACTGGAAGGCACACTTTGTAAGATATATTTCCTATCAAGCAAATTGAAGTCATTTGGCTTAGTTTGGGGCCTTTTGTTTTTCCTGGGTTTTGTGCTACTGCAATCATAAATCTAACTGAAAAAGAGAATTTCAGGGCCAATTTAGGTGTCAACAATTTAGAAAATGTATATAATAATTAGCACCAACTATCTGCTGTGGAAGCATGACAGGTAAGCACCACTCAGATGTTAAGCAAAAGGTCAGGGGTTCAAGCCCACCTTGCGACCCTATGGAAGCCTATCTCTGTTCCTGCAAATATCACAGCCTGTGAGCCTGAAGACAGCGGTTCTACTCTCCAGCGTGAGGCATTGAAAATTAACTTCACAGCACTGAAGAACAAGGAGCTGAAAGGGAAATCCACAGGTAGGTAAATTACAGCCGTATAAGGAGCTTCCGACATAAAATATTATGTTTTATTTATATATGTTGTGAAGCATTGCTCATGTAACTTTATGGAATGTCTTCTAATATAAACAGCCTTGCATTTGCTTCTTTTCTAATGATAATACATCTTCTTACAACTTAATGGAAAATGCTGAATGGTTTGACAATGGCTAG